GGGATGTTGTATTACACATACCCATTATAGGCGTGTATACATTAACGCACCCGGGATGTAGTATACGAATATAGACTCTGTATCCCCATACAAACAGAGATGTGTGTCTGCACAGCTCGCTGTGTGTGTGTGTGTGTGTGTGTGTATCTGTAAAAGTACACACACACACACACACACACGCTGCCACGCCTCTTGTATTTCATGGCACCTGCCGTTCCCGCGCCCCGTGTCTGCCCGCTCCCTGCTATCCCGGGCCAAGGGTTCTCGCTGGGCGCTAAGGCCCCGAGGACGGAGTTCAGTGCAGTGTAGTGCAGTGCAGTGTAGTGCCCTCAGCCTGGACCCGACCCCTTTTGCCCCGAGTCTTGCATGTGTCCGCGGCTTCATCCGCGTGAAACCCAGCTCGCTTCCCTGCCTCCCCCGAGATCCCTTGATTTAAAGGCAAACATACCCCCACGCGTGATTCCTGACCCACGGACCCCTTGCTTCCTGCAGACCCAGGCCGGGCTCCCACGCGGGGCCAGGATTCCCGCCCAGGGCATCCCAAGCAGCTGAGGCCGGAGCACGAGTGGGCCGCCCACGTGGGGCCCACTCCCCTGCCCCCTTTGCCTTTGCTTGTGGCTCCCCCCGTGCTGCTTGTTTTCGCTTTGCAAAGATGAGCCACTCCAAGAAAACAAGCCCCCCCGAAACACGCGTGGGCTGCACAACCAGCAGCAGGGGGAAGCCGCCACCAGCGCTACTGGATCTCACTTCGCGCGTGGGAGCTGGGAGCAGCGAGAAGGGCCCTGGGGTGTCAGCTGCGCCCCGGGGTTAAACCGGGGACGGGTTTCCAGATCGCTCGGATTAGTTTATCCCGGGCTGGGCCTTAGGAGCGGACAGACACGGGGCAGGCAGGCAGGCTGTCTCCCCCCGCTCCCCAAGGAGAATTAGGCTCAGTGAAGCTCCCAAGCTGGGAGCCCCTGGAGGGTTAAAAGCACGGCTTTCCCGGGCAGACCCGTGCCTCCAACCTGGAGCAGGGACTATGAGGCTGGCTACTCCCGCACCGGGCTCCTTGCTGCTCTCCATCCCGGCAGCAGGGTCCTGCCGCCGGCGGGGTGGGAAGCGCCAGCCCCGGGCTGGGGGGCTCCTGCCCTCGGCTGGGTGCTGAGCACGGGATTGGCACACTGGCGGCCCCGATCCGGGGGGTGTCTGCAGCGACTGGGCCCCCTGCTTGAACGCAGGGTGTGCAGGGCGGGGCAACCGCCGGGACGGGCTGATCCCTGGGACCGATGGACACGAGACAGAGGCTCCAGCAGCC